GAGCAGGGAGCCCGATGCGGGACTCGATCCAGGGACTCCAGGATCATGACCTGAGCCGAAGGCAGTCGCTTAACCAACTGAGCCACCCAGGCGCCCCGAACCCAATTTCTTATTTAAGCTAGCAAAACTTCAAAGTTTTAAATTACCAAAGATTTTGGAAGCTCTTTAAAAGTTTACTTACAGGGGCACCTGGCTGGCTCAGTTGGTGCAGTGTGCGACTCTTGATCTCAGGGTTGTGAGTTCGAGCCCTGCATTGGGTGTAGAGATTACTTAATAAAATCTTTTAAAAAAAAAAAGTTTACCTACAAATCTTTTTATCTATTCAACCTACTTCTTCCCAACAATTACACATGGAAACTTCATGAGACAGACAAAATCAACCATCATTTTAAGTCTTTTTTTGCTGCTGACAAATTGCAGCAGGTACATGAATTTAGTAAACTTAGGTAGAATAAAAGCTGATCATTGGTATTATATTCGATGTTGATAACTCCAAAAGAAATGCCTATTTTTTAAAAATTTTAAACTTATTTTTAAAGATTTTTTTTAAGTGATCTCTACACCCAACGTGGGGCTCGAACTTACAACCCAGAGATCGAGTCACGTGCTTACCAACTGAGCCAACTAGGTGCCCCTAAAATGACTTTTCTTATGTCAAGAAAATTATGTCTATCTTTTTCTGGGGACCCCTAACTCTCTCTGCTTACAGGTAGTGAGGTTGAAAGTTCCAACCCTCTAATCACTTTGTTGGTTTCCTGGGGCAAACAACCCTAATACTTAAGGGGTTTCCAAAAGTTACCCCATTCACATAAACTCAGGTGTGGTTGAAAGGGGCTCGTTATGCATAACAAGAGACACTCATTTCACAGGAACGGTGGATGAAAACCAAGTACATATTTACTATAAACCACAATATCACAGTGAGCCACTTTTATGCAGTTTTAGATGTTTTAGTAGCCACATTTTAAACAGTAAAAAGAAACAGGTGAACTTAATTTTAGTAATAGATTTTAACTCAATGTATCCAAAATATTTCCACTTTAACATATAATCAGTATATAAATATTAATGAAATTGTTTACATTTTTTAAGCTTACTTATTATATTTTAGTGATCTTTATACCCAATGTGGGGCTCAAACTCATGACCCCCGAGATCAAGGGTTGCATGCTCTTCCAACTGAGCCAGCCAGGTGCCCCCCCCCCTTTTTTTGGTACTAAGTCTGCATCACATCTCAATTGGCACTGGTCACCTTTCAGGGGCTCCATTGCCATCCGTGGCTGGTAGCTGTCTTACTGGCAAGCACAGGCTTCAAGCCTTCCCTCCTCGTGCTGAGGCCACCAGGCGACCTCTTTACTGCTGTGTCCTAGTGCCTGGCACATAATGAGGCCCAGTGATCTGCCATATGTGAGCTGGGGTAATCGGTCCTCTGCGCCTCCAGGGACTGTTGTGAAGGTTAAATAAAATGACGTTAGGTACCCTGCCTGTTCAGTGACGGTTGCTGTTCTTGCTGCCTCAAAGTCAACTGAAGGGCAGCAGGCCCAAGTTTGCTTCCTGTCTTCCTCCTAAGAGCTCTTCTCTAAAATTACAAAGCGCAGGCTGGGATCACAGAGCTGGCAGGGGCCTTGGGGTCAGGCTCTGGGGCAATAAACGAGAAAGCGGGAACCTCTAATCCGCGCCCTTGTTTTCTTGGTCTCCTCGACAGCCCGAGGCCCCGCCCACCCCGCCCTGACGGGCGCCCGGCGGAACTACAGCCCCCATGATGCAGCGGGAGTCCCGAGGCTTGAGTCATGGGCTTGGGACGCCCAGGCGGTGAACGAGCCCGCTTGAGACGCCTCTCCGGGCGCTGAGCCGGCAGACCCACGCCCGTAAGGAGTGATAGGGTCCAACCGCCTGAGCTCGGAGTCCACCGACTGACCAGGGCCAGGGCGGTGAACGTGCGGCGGCTGGTGACGTGAGCGTCCTCCCTCCTCCTCCCGCCCCTCTCGGGGTGGCGCCGTCTGGTGACGTTGGGGATATGATGGCCGCCGCGAGGCCGGGAAGGTGAAGGTGAGAGGGCGAGTGCGCCAGAGGGGTGGGGACCGGCCCGGCCCAGCCCTGCGAATCCTGAGTAGCCCGGCGGGGACCGGTGGGACGCTGGAACCCCGGGGGCTCTGGATCCGGGCAGGCGGGGGTCCCACGCCCCGGCCCCGCTGCGGGGCCCTCCGCGGCCCTGCGAGCAGGGGGCGGGACGCGGGTGTCGGGACTGGGGGTGGGGTTCCCTGAGGTTTCTCGTCTCCCCCGCCTTCCCATCCTTCGCTGCCACTTTCCACCCCAGGCCTTTCTCTATTTCGTATCCAGTCTTCTGTATATGCCAGCATTTACTCAGCATGTAAGTGCCCAAGTTCACCACTATAGCCCCCAGCCTTCTCCCACTTTGGGCACTTAACAGCACTCCTGTGCTGTCACCTATTTCTTGTTTGACTTCTCACCTGAAGGTAAGCCCCTTGAGAGCAGGTACTGTTTTACCCATCCCTAACTTTAGCGCCTAGCAACACGCAGGAGGCACACAGAAGGTGCCGGATAATTAGCTATTTGGATACATGAAGCCAAAACTGCCCATCCTCTGTTTGTGATCCTTCATTGCCCTGTTCATTTCTTTTTCTTTTCTCCTCCCAGAAAGGCCTCTGATTATCACTCTTTCCACCTGCAAGGGTGGAGTAAGGCAGCTCTGCGAAGTTAAAAACAAATGGGCTTTGGAGTCAAAGGGAGGTGGTATCTCAGTTTCTAGCTTGGCCACTTAACTAGCAGTCCATAAATCTTTTAAGTGTTCCAAGCTTCTGTTTGCTCCATAGAACTGAAAATTAAGTGAGATATTTTACAGCATCTAGCACACATAGCCTTTCAGTAAGTTCTACTTCTCTTCCTCACGCCTACCCTCCCATCTCTAGTCCTGAGTTCCACAGTCCTCAAGCCCAGTCTTTGTCCTGTTTTGTTACCTCCTCTCCTCTCACCTCTCTGGACGTGCCTTTAGCAAGCTCCTGCGCCTCACCAGCACGTGGCTGACCACATGTTTGTGCATACCCAGGATTGTCCCCACCTGTGTTTTTCTCCAGGGCACTTCCCTCATATATCATCGCCTAGTGCGGGCAATGACTAAGCTTCCCTCAGGGATGAGTTTGTTTGGCTTTAAACCCATTAAACGTGTTTTGTGCACCCTTTTTTTTTTTTTTTTTAATTTGCTGCTTGTTGACATGTTCCTTTTCCTTTCCAAAAAGTTGGAATCGGTGGAGTCAACACAGTCAGTAGCCAACCTCAATCTGAGGAACAGGACAGAGGAGAACTCAGATTCTTTTCGTCTTTTTGACTCCAGCCATGCCCATGATGCCCAACCTGTGAAGGTCTCTCACCATCCAAAAAGTAAGTGGTGGCTGTGACAGCTGGCACCCTGGATCTGGGTTGAATGAAAAGGGGTGTACCCTGCTGGCTATCCAGTGGCACGTGTCTTGGATGGGGTCGTCATTGCACAGAGCTGGAGTTTTCCAATCTGTGTTGAAAAAAAAACTGTATGTCCTTTCTACTTCCATGGAGGATTTCACTGGTGGTGGAGAGAGCCTGTTTAAAGGTTGACCGTTCAGAAAGTGGCTGGAATCTTTGGGCTCCCTGAAGAATTAGTCTCTGTCTCCCTTGTTCTTTGCTATGCTGGCTCCTCCCTACCCCTCTCTGCTCAGCAGAGACTGGCTCCTTATCACAGCTCTTCTGAGAGTCTCCTCTGCTCCCTTTATCCTGTATACTCTTTTGTTTCAATTTCTCAGCTTCTCCTCTGTTCCAGTTGTGCCAGCAGACGATCCGTGGACCTATTTTATTTTCCCTGCTAGGAGTTGCTGTGCATAAAACTGGGTAAGGAGGTGGTGTGGATTCAGGGACTGTGCTTGGGATCCAAACACACCATGCAGTGAATTTTGCTACTGCTGTTCCCACATGGAAGACGCCTCATACTCCTCAACCAATAGCCTAGGTTGAGGCCAAGCTTTTTTTTTCAGTTTAGAATTGGGTTTGGTTCTGGTCTTAGGTTAATACCTGTTAATACTGTGCCCCTAGCACTTTTTTGGGGTGGGAGAGAGGGAGAGTACCAGGATGAATGAGGCTTTCCCCAAAGTATGTTCCTCAGGATTTTAAAAACTGTTACATGGAAGAAGAGTTTCTTTAGATACATTTGTGAAATGCTGCATTAAATACAGTTAAGCTAGTAACTTTCCAAAGTCTTTGCTTTGGTTATGTGCTCTGATGGAGGCAGAGCATGGTATATAGTGTTTTATAAATTTTTTCTACTCTGGAACCCTTTTTACCTGGAGCATTGGGTGTACTACATTTTTGTGGACCGCACTTTGGGAAACGCTTCCATAAACTATCTGAAAGCCTGACTTGAAGAGCACTTTGTGGCTGTCACAACAGCTTGAAGCATGCCACATAATGTCCAGCTGAGATTAGAACTAATGTAACCCAGCTGTGCCTGGCCCCGCATGCTTGCGGGGAGCCCTGCAGTGAAGTAGGGATTATCAGGGTTTCCCAGAGGAGGCACAGGAACCCAGCTGATTCCTACCACCCGGTGAGGGTAGGAAGCCAGTAGGCAAAGCCCCAAGATAGTGGGGGGCCCTGTCTTGGCTTGTGTGTGTGTATTCTGCAACTTTGGTCCATCGGTGCACATATGTATGTCCAGCTTGCTCTTTGAAGGATCAAATCCTGGAATATGAAAGGTTTGTTCAACTGTCTTGGTTCCCTGAGCTCCAAACACGAAGAAACAGATGATTTGCCAGAAGCTGCTTTTTAAGAAAAAAATAGATTTGGGTATTCCAGGGATGGAAGGGTAAGAAGACACTCCCATTAAGGGGCCTTCACTAACTCATCCATGTTTCTTAAGTCATGGAGGAGAAAAGTAGAAAATGGAAATAGGTCACGACTCTTACCAGACTGTCTTTCTGCAAGCTCATTGACTAGATGAAGAGACAGTGTGATTAAAAAACCAAAAGTCTGGTAAGGTTGCATGTCCTCCTTGGAGATGCCAAGGAAGGCTTCACGGGGGGAGGGGTGACACTAGAGTTGGGTCTAGAAGGACAATAGGAATGTGCCAAATGGGTGAAGCAGCAACACAAACACAGAACCTCAGCTTGGTAGTTCACCGAGCCAGAGAAATCAGACGGTTTGGATGGGTTGGAGGTAGGATCCCTGAGAAAGGGTTGGGGCATGCTGCTGCAGGCCGGGGAATCCCGGTAAGAGCAGGTCAGCTCCTGGACTGGCTCAACTCTGAGCAGATCTTACAACTTTGAATCACTAAGCTTTGAGTAACATGCCTGCCTTTGAATCTTACACTTACTGAACACTAACACTTTTGGTTTCATATCCTTTGGGCTTGCATACAGTGAACCAGAACTCAAAAGCACATGCTTCTAGACCCCCCCTGATCTCAGGGAACTTTCTCCTGCAAGCAAGTCACTTCTGGGGCTGGGCACCGCTGATCCTCAGCCCTGAATAGACCTGTTTACTGGATTCCACATGGCAGTGGTAGAGCCCTGGGTGTGTTGGTGGAGTTGTCTCCGCCCTTCCTCGAAGGCTGGGTGTTCACCTCACCGGAATGTAGGAAAGGGGTGTGCTGGGCAAGAACGCTCTAGTCATCTCCCCGGTGGTGACAGTTATCAGGGGGACTGAAGGGTGGGGCTTTGCGTGCGATCTTGTTGGTGGAGTTTATTTTGTCGTTGCTGTATAACACATAAAGCTACCTTTTAAGTTTGTACCGTGTCCTCTTGGGTCTTCTCAGTCTGTGTGGCATCACACTTGTCATACACATGAAGAATTCAAAGCTGTGGGGTAAAGTAACCTGCCCAAGTTTATGTGGCCCAGAAAGGGTACGATTTGAACCCAGCTCTGCCTGATTCCAGAATCTCATCTACCGGCTGTATCATGCCCCATCCTGGACCCCTTCTCTTCTCCTTTTGATGCTTTCCTCTTTTTGCACTCATCGCGTTTCTCTGAGAGTCTTACCTGCTGGGCCACGCCAAGCCTGATTTCGGCGCACTCTAATGCTCTGGAGGAGCCAGTGGTGTTTCCTTCCCAGTTTGCCTTCTCAGAGTTCTTTTGCCTCAGAAGGCCCTGACGCTCGACCTCCACGCTAAGAAAATCTCACAGTGTGGCGGTTTACTGAGGAGGGAGGTAGAAATGGACATACAGTTACTTGTCTCTCCTGTCTCCCTAGAAATCGGTAACAGAGTAATTTGTAGGTTTAGGTGAAACGTGTGGTTCGATACTTCCCTGTGTGTCTGTCTGTCTGCCCACTCTTTGGGATGATTAGATCTTAAGGGCCAGTTTTCAGTTGTTGTGCACGTTCTCTAGATGGTCTTTCTGCTTCTCAGGGACTTGTTCAGTACCCTTTGGCACCCTTGGGAAGTTTCTCATGTGTGTTCACCCATGAGCCTCCTCATTTCCTAGAGGCAGTGAGTGCCGGGTGCCATCTCGGGCAGAGAGCTGATGGTGCTGTGATGGGGGAGGGGGTGGCCCACAAGAATTTGCTGGGTGTTGGAGCCGTAGAACCAGGCACACTCAGCCGTGCACACTCCTCCTTATCCTTGGAGGGGCCTTTGTCCTTTGACATCGAGGCTCCGAGGGCTCTGCTGGGGATGTAGCTCTGTTCATGGTGGGAACTCAGGAGCAGTGTGACCAGAGATTCCCAGCCACATCCACCTTCTCTAGTCTGTCTGCCTCTTTGGGCTTTGACCAAAGATCTCGAGGACTTTGGAGTTAAGCTTCACAGCCCCTAACATATTATTGCTACTTGAACAAATATAGGCTATAAAAATGTGTGTATGATCGAGAACGAGAGAGCTACCTACCCAAAAAGACTGCTGCGAAACAGGTGTTCATAGTGCTTATCACAGAATGATGGGGTTATGGATTTTTCCTTCGGTTTCTGCATTTTTTTTTTTAAGATTTTATTCATTTGAGACACAGAGATACAGAGAGAGAGAGAGAGAAAGCATGAGCAGGGAGAGAGGCAGAGGGAGAGGGAGAAGCAGGCTCCTCGCTGAGCCAGGAGCCCGACGTGGGGCTCGATCCCAGGACCCTGGGATCATGACCTGAGCCGAAGGCAGATGGTTAACCATCTGAGCCACCCAGGCGCCCCCGGTTTCCGCACTTTCTATAGTGCACATATTTATGATGAAAGAGATCAATAAATGTTTCTGAGTAAACAGTAGAAGTAAACCTGTCATTTGAACATCATCCCTTTCCACTCCCGACCACCACCAAAAATAAAAACAAAAAAAATCTGTTAAGAATTAGGGCATTGTGACCTGGACGGCAGGGTGGCCAGGGAGGCCTGGTAGGGGTCATGGACCTTGAGCATCACTTTGCTTTCACTGCTTTGAATTCAGTGCTTTTTCTCAGGTGGGTGATGTGTAGGAAAGAAGTGAGATTTCTGTCACACTTTTCTGCCTAAGGCTGAGAGGATGGCTTATCGTGTGTCCCTTCATGATTCCTGCCTGACTGTCTGAGGTGGGGCGGGCAGAGCCTGCCACTGGTCAGTAGGTGAGGATCAGTCAGCCCAAGGCTTCAGCTCAGGGTCCTGGCTCCAGCTGAGTGCCCACACCATGTCACAGGGAAACTGCCCACATGTCCTCAGCGGTCCCTTCATCCTCTTGAGGACACTGGCTCTTATGTTGCCATCCCTGATCTAGTCCTGGAGGGCCTGTGTTCTTGATGGCCCCCAGAGCTAGCCCCAGACCACCCAGTGTGCCCTGCCACGGCCCTAGCAGAATGTCCGAGCTGGGCCTTCCTAGGTTACTCACCTTGTCTTCTCTTGCAGCGCGATGTCCCTGCTTTTCTCTCGGTGCAACTCCATCATCACAGTCAAGAAGGACAAGAGACACATGGCTGAGGTGAATGCTTCCCCGCTCAAGCACTTTGTCACTGCCAAGAAGAAGATCAATGGCATTTTTGAGCAACTGGGGGCCTACATCCAGGAGAGTGCTACCTTCCTTGAAGGTAAGACGGGCAGCCTGCTCAGCTGGGCCTACTCCTTTATCAGCTTCCACATTTAGGTGGGAGGATTTGAGGGTGGGAAGGTAAAGCCTGGCTTTTGGGGAGCTCATGCCCAGAGAGATTGTCACCTTCAGCAGTGTTCTGCGCTTGGAATCATGTGGTATTGGGCTCCAGGGAGATGGGGCCAGGAAAACAAGGGACCTATCATTTAGGAATTCTGCGTATTCTGTGTCGTTGAATCATGAGGGGTCAGTGAATCCTACCCGTGTGTAGAAGACAAGCAGATTGAGGTTTTGCGAATTGCTCAATACCTTTCAGTGACAACAGCAGGGCTTTACTAGGTGTCTTTGACTCCTGAGCCCAGGTGCTTTCTTTGGCCTGGTTCTGGTTGCCATTTATACCAGGCCCTGTGTGGGTTTTGGTTGTCCCTGACCAGGGTGTTCTTTCTCTGATATTTATAGTCAGTGGGTTATGGATAGGAAACTTGCGTCACTGGCACCTTTTCACTAGTGACTAATTTGAGCCCAGCCTCTCGTCCCTGCTCGATCAGCAGAGGTGGAAGGGTTCCCAGGGCCCCACTCAGTCAATGGCCAACCCCAGCCTCTGACTTTCTCAGGCTCCCCCTCTAGAAGGCACACATTGGCTCCTGTGTCTGGGATTGTCAGCAAAGACCGAGGAGCTGAGTCTTCCCTGCCCTTGGTTTCCTTGTTTGTGAAAGAGGTGCTCAAGCGAGACCAGGGCTTTTTAAATTCTGGTCTGCAAAACTCTTCAATGTTCAGTGGAAATGCCCCAGGGACATACTTCACCTTCTGCTTTCCACTAGAGAGGCTTGGCTTCTGGTTGGTTGGTTTACTGACAGGCTGCTTCTTAAGGCTCCCTTTATAAAAAGGGACTATTTCCAGTACTGCGGTCTGAATGTGTGTGTCCCCCCAAAAATCACATGTTGGAATCCTAAGACCCAGTGTGATGGGGTTGGGAGGTGATTAGGTCGTGAGGGGGGAGTGCTCATGAATGAGATTGGTGCCCTTATAAAAGAGACCCCACAGAACGCCCTAGCCCCCTTTTGCCACATGAGGATACAGTGAGAAGTCTGTGACCTGGGAGCCGAGCGTCACCCTCCTAGGCTAGCACCCTGGTCTGAGACTTGCAGCCACAGAACTGGGAGCAGTACATTTCTGTTTGTGTGAGCTGCCCAGTGTGTGGTGTTTCATCAGGGCAGGCTGAGCAAACAGAGGCTGAGAACGGACTCACTATGCCTACCCCTAGCGTGGTGCTTGATGCAGAAGGCATTCCCTGCGTATTTGTTAATTTAAAAATCTGAATTCTAAAGTTACAAGCTTGGCAGTTGAAATTATTCCAGTTCATTACCCATTTATTTGGCAGTAGCTCAGGTGCGCCTGGCACTGTGCATGCAGAGAGGGGGCGGACCGGCCACTCCTCCCAGAGCCCAGGCTAACCGTGGTGGTGCTGTGGATGGACACGTGCTTAGTGACGGTGTTTATGTGCTGGCATTAGGAATGGGTGTTTGAGGCCTCTCCTGTTGGTGGGCTGGAGGGGGAAGAGCTGGAGTGCTCCTGAGACGTGTTTGGGGCCGCCCTGGCCATAGGGGAGGGTGTGCTGACCGCCTTGGGACTGGACTCTAAAGACTCATCAGTCCACTGGCTGTTTCTTTTATCTTTTATTTACTTATTTACTTTTATAAAATATTTTATTGATCTATTTGAGATAGAACATAAGGGGGGGAAGGGGCAGAGAGAGAGGGAGAAGCAGGCTCCTCACTGAGCAGGGACCCCGAAGCGGGGCTCGATCCCAGGACCCCGGGATCATGACCTGAGCCGAAGGCAGACGCTTAACCGACTGAGCCACCCAGGCGTCCCTGGCTGTTTTCTCTTAAATGTGGCCACACGCCTGAGAGCCCAACTTCCAGGTACGTTCCAGAGGCAACACCCATGTGCCCTTATGAGGGAGGAATGATGATGGGTCTGAGGCTGGGGTGACCAGTGGACCTGGGAGGCCGTGTTGGTTTGGTCACTTCCCTTCATGGCATCATGTTGTCAGCCCAGTGGTTCACAAGTATCCCAGTCTGCCTGGGCTGCCATGACAGAAATATCACACACTAGGTAGCTTATAAACAACAGAAACTGATTTGTCGCAGTTCTGGAGGCTGGAAAGTCCAAAATCAGGGCACCAGTGGATTCAGTGTCCAGCGAGGGCAAGCTTCCTGGACTACTGTCTTTTGTCTGGAACATCCCTGGTAGCCGCATGGCAGAAGGAGTTAGCTGTCTGGGTCTCTGATACTGACGCTTAGCCCAGTCATGAGAGCTGCAAATGCGTCATGACCGTCACACGGCGAGGGCATAAACACTCAGTCCGTTGTAGCCAGCCTGTGTCGAGGGGCCAGTCACCCATGTACTCGGGCTGGCCTTCCTGGCGCAAGTACTAGATGGGATGGGGCAGGATCTTGCTCCGTTGCTCCCATCATTTGTTGTCTGTCTGCCTGTCAAGGCCACTGGGAAAAAAGCAGTGAGGTGATCCCAGTACCTGCTGGCTTAGCAAACACTGTGCGCCTGCCGAGTGCTGGGACCAGACAGTTTGGCTCTCACATGGGAGATGATGCGGGTTAGCTAGACAGTTACACCATGGTGAGGTGAGTGCTAAGGTTGGAGAAGTAAGGGTGCTTTGTGAGCACAAACAAGTGACCCAACTCCAGTTGGGGGGAGTCGGGGAAGGCTTCTGGGGGCTGTGCAGTCCATGCTAGGCTCAAGGCTAAGTGGGAGGGAGCCAGAGTCCCCCAAGGCAGTGTATCCATGCACGGAGGGGCTGGGGTGCACGGAGCAAAGCCCAGAGAAATGAGGAGGCAGCGAGGCAAGGGTGGGGATGTGGTGAAGTGCCTTGTGAGGTGGGGCTGGCAAGACGCTCGGCCGGAGCAGTAGCGGGGCGGATCAGGAAGGGCCTTGTGAAGGTCCATGGGGTCCCAGTCCTGGTTCTGCCATTTACTAAGTGTGTGGCAGGGAAATGACAAGGACTGAGTGAGACCGTGTATGGAAGGCGATCAGAACAGTGCCTGGTAGGTAGTGAAAACTGTGTTTGTTAAGTGAAACACGTAGAGGTGATCGCAGTGACATTCGAGTGTTTGGTTTCTGTAGTTTGTTCTTTTTTATTAGAAAGAGAGTGCAAGAATGAGCAGGGAAGTGGCAGAGGGAGAGAGGCCTGAGCAAGCTCCCTGCTGAGCAGGGAGCCCGATGCTGGGCTCAATCCCAGGACCGTGGGATCACGACCCAAGCCGAAGGCAGACGCTTAACTGATGGAGCCACCCAGGCGCCCCTGTATTTTGTTCATTTGATCCTTGCAGCAGTCGTAGGAGGTAGGCACTGCTGTTTTCTTTGTTTTAAGAGTCAGGGGACTGACACTCTGGAAGGTTCATTTGCCTGAGGTCACAAAGCTGGGAAGAAGGGAGAAGCAGCACTTCCCTTGCACTGGAACCCAGGCAGCGTTGCTTCCAAGCCTTGTTCTGAACTGCTAGGCTGCAGCGCCACGGTGGGATCCAGCCTCTGGCAGGCGATGACACAAAACCACGGCGGTGGACTCTGTCCCCCGCAGACTTGTGACTGTGGACCTGCCTTGGCCATGCGGTGACTCGCTTTCAATCTCCACCTCCAGACACTCACAGGAACGCAGAACTGGACCCGGTTACAACAGAAGAGCAGGTTCTGGATGTCAAAGGCTACCTGTCCAAAGTGAGGGGCATCAGCGAGGTGCTGGCCCGGCGGCACATGAAAGTGGCTTTTTTTGGCCGGTGAGTCTGTGAAGCCCTCACACCTTCTTTCTGGCCAGGAGGGAGGGGGGCACTCGTGTGGTCTTCCCATCTGAGCACCCTAGGTGGGAAGCAGCCGGCATGCTTCAGAGCGCATGGCTCTTCTCCTCCTTTTTCAGTTCTTATCTGTGGTAAAATACACATAACGGGAAAGTTCATGGTCATAATCACTGTTAAGTGTACAGTCCTGTAGCGTTTAGTACATTCACATTGTAGTGTGACCATCGCCAGCATCCATCTCTAGAACTTCTTTGTTTTGCAAAACTGAACTCTGTCCCCATTAAACACTAACTCCCTGTTTTCCCCAATCCCCCAACTCCTTCTTGGCCTCTGGCAGTCACCATTCTGCTTTCTGTCTCTGTGAGTTTGATTCTTCTAGGCACCTCAAGTAAGTGGAATCATACGGTATTTGTCCTTTTATGACTGACTTCTTCCACTTAGCATCATGTCTTCAAGGTTCATCTCTGTTGTGGCATGCCTCAGGATGTCCTTCCTTTTTAAGGCTGAATGATATTCCATTGTGCATATAGACTGTGTCTTGGTTATCCATTCATCCGTAATGAACACTTGGGTTGCTTTTACTTTTTGGCTGTTGCGAATCATGCTACATGAACATGGGTGTACAAATATCTGTTTGAGACCTTACTTCCGGTTCTTCTAGGTATATGCACAGTAGATTTCCTAGATCATATGGTAATTCTATTTGTAGCTTTTTTTTTTTTTAAAGATTTTATTTATTTACTTGACAGAGAGAGACACAGTGAGAGAGGGAACACAAGCAGGGGGAGTGGGAGAGGGAGAAGCAGGCTTCCCGCGGAGCAGGG